CCCCCCCCCCCCCCCCCCCCCAACAAAAAGAAAAACCAAAAAGAAAGGAGGGAAAATGCCCTCTATGTCCATGAATGATTATAACAGGCAAATGTCCTAGTAACAAAGCAGTTAAGAGGAAAGCTACATAATGGATAGATAATAATTTTGAAAGCAAAACAAACCTTGGGCTTTGCTATAAGAAGCACATCTCGGTGAATGCCAGATAACCACCAATGGTCTTGATCTTCTAAATAAGAGCCATCACTCCATCTCAGAACTTGAACAGCAAGAACATTTTCTTTGTCTGAATCAGAAGGATGACATAACTCGGTAATTTCAAATTCGGCAGGAAGCCTGCTATCCTGACTGAGCAAAGAAGATAGTTTGTTACTTACAGCAACAACGTGAACTGTAGCAAGTTGTGATTTACTGCATCCCCAGGGGTGTTAAGGAGAACATGCATTGGTATAAAAGAAACTTATGCTAAAACAAAATCAGAAATTGTGATGCATTTGTATGCCATTATATAATGTAAGAAGAAATATTTAAATGATTTACGGTGAAAAAGTGCAGAACAGCATTTCGAAAGAAAAAAAAACACTAAATCATAAAGTTATGAGCAATAGATTCATGCTGTTAGCAATCAATATAATTTTAAAAAAAAGGGATTATCAGGTTAAGCTGTGCAAACCTGTATCCAATGAGGACTCCATTTATCCAAGCAAAAAATGCAGAATCAACAGCCTCAAAATGCAGTAAGATTCGACGACCTATTGAGCAGTGGAGTAAATGAATATGGTAATAAGCAGATACTCAAACATCAAACTAAATTAAGTATATTAGCCTCCTTTTTTCTCAAAAAAAAACAAAAAGTATTATGCCTCCTTTTGACAAAATCTAATTGATTTATATCATTCCTCAATGTCCATGTATAGGTCATAACAGATATATCCATACCTGTGCATGGACAACGCACATGTCCAGCTTGAAACACTAGGATGAAGACCTTGATTTTCTCTTTTGTTCACATATGGCACTATATCTTATGGTTAAAGTGTATAAGTGGAGTTTTAATTCCTTGACTGTTCGAATGCATTTTTTGTTGCTTATTGCCTAATCACAGATTCACAAGCTAAAGAGACTTCAAAATCCTGACTTGCATATCTAAATAACAATGTCTTTCCAGTCAATAATATGTATTGTACTGGCCTAGGAGGCTTAATGCACAGCATGTGTAAAAGAAATTATATTTAGAAGATGACCAAGGATTTGTCAAGAATAACCAATTACCAAATACACATTTTACATTTATTAAACTACTAAACTAACAGAATGATAAATCTTAAAAATGTTTCAAATGAATAATAAGCCAGAAGTTGTGCAAAAACAAAAAAAAAACCTTTACCCTGTGTATGGGGTCAGGCACACGGATGATTTTTGTCCACAGAAGTAGAGGAAATGAAGTAAAGCATAGTTGTAAACAATACCTTTCCACTCCTTAGGTAGGTGAAAATATTTTCTATAACAGCCAGTGGGATTGTTGCAGGGAACATATGGTGGGTTAAGAGGAAAGGGATATATAGTATTTGTATAAATAGGACGATCATATCCATGCATCTGCCAGTTTGAAGGAACTGCATCAAAAAGCGCAGTCATGTTAGGTTAGGCTATTAGGTAGAAAAATGAACAAAAGAATGCAACGAAGATCAGCAGAGACCATTAATTACTCTGGTGTCTAATTGAAGCCACGGAGAGAGCAGTCCATATGTTAACATAATAAATTTCTTTTGCTAATAAAGAAAAGAATAAACTATACCGGCTTATCCTTGAAGGCACAAAAGTATTAATCAAAGTTACAGAACTTTTTACACAATGTATGTTATACACAATGTCGAAAATAACAATAACGTGCAGCCTAAGAGTCTAAGACTCGTTATTGGGGAGCTTAAAGCACATATAGACATAACACTTAGGTAAGTCACGTGTATTGTTATTTCTAATTTAAACTAAGTATTAAATATCCACAATATTTTTAAAATTAGGAACATGATTTGAAAATATAGAAATATATATAAATTATAACTACTAATACAATTAATATAAGTTACTGTTGCGAACAGTGGGAAGACGAGAAACCATGGAGGGAAAATGGCGCTTGAGCTAGTGGCCCCTCAACAACCTCGACGTTTCGGGTTAATAAGGTTTTTCCAGGTTTAGGAATTTTGCTCTTTTCCAGGTTTAGGAATTTTGCTCTGATACTGTGCTATGACGGGAAAATGACTATATTCTGAAGAGGGATAGTTTGGGTTTATTCATTATAAAGCAAATGCACTACAAATAAGTAATATTGCAATGTGGAACTAAACAAACTTCTCTAATGTTACCATATACTAACCACTCTTATAAGAATATATTGAAAAAATCCTCCAAATCTTCAAATCAGTTACCTGGAATGTTTTGACGAAAGCCATATAGAAAAGATAAAAAAGTACCTATCTAGCATCTTGCAGTTTCTTACAAAATATAGATATTTGATCACTGGGAATCTTCAGAATTATGAAGATAGAGGCCTAAGGCATTTTTTAAACTTGAAGAGCGGAAAAAGTTTAAGGTGCATGCACATATGACGATATATTGAAGATTTGAAGACTTCCATCATGCGTGTGACGGTCCCCACGTACTGAAAACTATAAAATTTACTATAACAGATTCAAATTAATTCTAATAACTGATGTGATAAAAGAATAATAAATAAAAAAACAAAAAGAAGAAGAAAGCAGCAGGTAAAATATATGTTGGGAACGATAAAGAAATGAATCGCAAGATCAACAATTTAAGTTGTATAAGCTTGCCTGGCAACTTCTCCCAAGCTGAATCATCAAAGGCAATATCATGAAAGTTCTCCGGAACATTTGCAGGACTTGACGCAAAAATGAAGTTCCAATAACCGCTAAGAGACTTTACAAAAGGTAAGCCTTCGACCCAAAAAGCAGCACTCTCAAGAGAACCAGAAACAGCATCATCATTCCACACGGCTGAATTAGAAATCAGAAAGTCTGCCTTGCTTCGCTCATACCAATATCTGAGAGATCCTGCAACAAGAGCAGGAAAATCAAATAGTCATGTATAAACCATAGCATAAGCATATCTTTCAAAGGGTCATATCCTATAAAAATGAAGAAACGGATAAGAAGTGCCTGAGTAAGAGAAAAAATGTACCTTCGACTGAATCGTGAGAGTGAAGCGGCACGTGCGGTTCACGTTTTCTCCACTTGAAAAAGGTTGGGTCTTCCCAGACCTTCAGAGAATTAGTAATGGGTGGTATAAGCCCAGCTGCACATGCCACTGCCATTTTACAACAGCTTCATGAACCTCGGACAATAAACTCGCGCTGCAACGCAGACATTTGCAAGTTTATGGCCAGTTCCACCAAATTTGTCATACAAAAACTTAGTGTTGTGTAAATTTATCCAAAAGCTTCATGAACCTCGGACAATACATATATCAAGTAAATCAGCAAATGTCCATATAGTTCAGATTCCTATTACAATATTCATACTTTTAAGCACTATTTCATAAAGGCGTAGACATGGGTGTTTCTAAGAATTAGGCAGTATCCATTATGAGTGTAACTGACACTAATAACCAACAATTGCTCTCTTGTGATCTCAGTATAAGTGATTGTAAAATATAGGACAGACCCTCAAACATTGTCAATCATGGGTTTTTTTTTCCCCCGAGAATTTTTCCAAAATTGTTAAAGATAAAACATGGGTTTTCTTCTTGTGATCAAATTGGGGGGTTTGAAGCAAGCAATCAATTTACTTTCATCTATAACCACCAGTGAAAGAATCGAGGAGGGCCCAGTCAACTACAAATGTAAGTTACTAACGAATCTGATGACAAAAGAGATGAAAAGATTACCACTTTTTCCGCGATTTGGCGATTGGGAGAAGATTATCTATAGAGCGTTGTCGCTGGTGATGATGATGACGACGACGGACGATAAAAACAAAGAGCTTTTGCGTCTCTCACTCGTCTCCCCTTACGTGGGCCGGGTTGGGCTTAGAGTTTGAGGAGGATCAAAAAGATCAACAGCCCAAACTTCAAGCTGGATGGAAAGCGATTTTCTTATTTAAGGAACCGTTCAGTTTAGGGGCTGTTTGGTTCTTTTTTTTGGGTGGTAAAAGTGGGGAAAGCTGCCAAAAATATTAGCTTTTTGACAGCTTCCCCCCAAAATCACCCCTTAAAAAGGTGATTTTGGGGGAAAGCTGTCAAAAAACTAACATTTTTGACAGATTTCTCCTCTTTTACCACCCAAAAAAACCTATGTTTAAACTGATTCAATTGTTTTTCCAAAAATAAATTCAATTTATTGCTTTTTTCAAAAGTAAATTCAATTTGTAGCTTTTCAGTTTGTAGTGTGGGCATTTTCTTTGGGACATCAGGTCGATACCGCTAAAAATAGAATGCAATTTGCGACCTAGATGCAAACCTACATAATTCATCAATTCCAACTGAAATCTCTCAGTAATTGCAGTTGTGGCTGCATTTATTACTTGTAATCAAATAAACAACTATAAATATGGATTCGGATCCTCTCCACTACAAAAAAATAGTGGAGAGACCACTACTTTTAATCTCAATTGTTAATTATTTAGTAGGCGGTTATGATACAATCTAAATCTAACACTTACCATACCCCTGTGTATTACACTCATTACGAATTTATACTAAAAAATCATAACCATCAACTAGATAATCAATGACTGTGATTATGTAGTGGTCCCTCCACTATTTTTTTGTAGTGGAGAGGATCCTAATCCTATAAATCATACTCCCTTTAAAAGTACGAGTTCGGAAAAATATTTCTATAGCCAATATTACCCTTAGGTTTTTTTGAATATTACATTGTTATACTAATCTATTTTAATTATCTTATCTCTTTGAATTGTTAACCAAATGATTTATTCTATTCATAATGAGACTTAACATGTTATTGGATAAAATAGATACGTTTCGTATAATTCAAATTCTTTACTTATTTAAGTTCGTAGAGAAATCTAAAAAACATATACTAGCCAACAGCTAAAAGTTTTAGACTTTGTAAAAAATATTCTCCAAGTTTTTTAGATTACAAAAAAGCCCCTACAAATTTAAATTTTTATTAAAGCATCTTAAAAATTATAAATTTTATTTATCTCAATTCAGTGAGAAATCTGAAAAAATATATGCTAATTAGAAACTGAAAGTTTTTTGACTTTGGAGAAAATATCTTATAAGTTTTATAAATTACAGAAACACCCCTAAAAGTTTAAAATTTATAAAAAACACCTTGAAAATGACAAACCTATAAACATACTAAAAACCTACAAATAACACAAACAACCCCCAAAATTTTATTGAATTTGCAATACATACTCTGAACTTTTTACAAATTACAAAATGAAACCCTCAAAACTGTAAAATTTACAAAAAAATCTGTTAATTCCTGACCTAACATTGCATTAAAAAATAAGAATTATAAATATCCCCTACATAATTTATAATTTATAAAAAATAAACTTAAGGTTTTAAAATTTACAAACAAATATTTAAATTTTAAAATTTACAAAAAACACCCTGGAAATTTTAAATTTATTAGTAAATTGAAAGCATAGGAAGTATTAATAGTTTTTAAACAATTTACAATCTGTAGAAAAGGCCTATAAGTTTAAAAAATTACAAAAAGTCCTAAAAATTTATAATTTATAAAAAAAACTCCATGAGAATTTCTAACCTATAGACACTAAAATAAATATACAAAATTACTAAAAACCCCTAAAAATTAAAATTTTGCTAAAAAAATTATACATATTTTAAAAGTATAGGTTTAGAAAAAAAAATTCATGGTAAATATTACCCATAACTTTTTTGAAAATAACATAACTAATTAAAATCTATTAAATTTGAAATTTATAAAAAATACACTTAAAGTTCAGTACATTGCAAATTACCCCTCAAAAGTTTAAAAATTTTAAATTATTTTTTTGTAATTCCTTGATTTCAATGTATTGTTTAATAGTTTTATGTATTTGTAAATTACAATTTTTAGAGTGTTTTTTAACACTTTTAAAATTTTTTAGGGTGTTTATTTTGTAGTTTTCTAAATTTTTAATTTATTTTTAGTGTACTACACATATGCATCAATTAATGATGATATTAAAGAATAAGTTGTCTTAAGATTATTAGACCATAGTTAAGTGTGCACATCACTATTCCTACACAGTATAGTTTATATATGCAAAAAAATTCAGATAATCTATGTAGTGGTTAAAAAGATTTTGACTTTGATATACTATTTTTTATAAATTATATTTAATGTGAACCCACCGTATAATTTTGACCGTGGTTATTATAATTTTAATACGTTTGATTGATTGACTATATACGTATATAGGCCATAGATTACTTTCTCACATGAGCTAACATTTGGGGCTTAATAAATTAAATTATTACTTTTAAATTCAATATAAAGAGGAGCTCTAATAACATTTATTTATTTACCTATAACATAATATAATCTCAATTCCTATTTTTTGCTGGAGATTTATTCCATGGTTATACATATCAAATTAGTAACTAAAATAATAATTATTTATGCTTAAATTAGGATAATTGTAGTTGGCCACTCACTATAAAAATTTTATGAATATATATACCTTACTTTCTATAGCTATCTGCATTGCCCATGTATATTTTATAAATTAGTTCTTAATTTGACATATTAAATTACTTTTCCTTTGTAGAAATTTTTTCTTTGCCTTTTAGACTGTGTAATCACTATATCACCATTCTAGCATAGAAAGGACCTCACTCTAAATGGCTTCGAAGCTAACTTTTTAGTTACACTAAAGTATATATTATTGTTACTATGTGTATATATTTTTTAAGAAAATCATGTCAATACTTTTTAAATAGAAGAGAATATTCTAACCTCTAATATTATAAAAACAAAATATAGCCAATTGAATGATTAGCAAAAGAGAACTTACATTAGAAAATTATGAAAATAAGATAAAGAGAAAAGGTAATGACATTACCAACAGTGCTACAAATAGCAAACTACAATGTAAAGTTAATCTATTTTGTGGAGCCCAACTACTGGTTACAAGCATCAAGGTTTTCATATATATACTTTATAATTTATTTAAAAAGGGGTCATATAATCTTATATAATAAAATTAATTTAATATTGAATAGTAATATTATTATTAGAAAAAATTCTTTATGAATCGGTATGCTCTTTACGATATATAAGCTATGTACTATAAATTATTGTCTTTCATAAAGCCAAAAAATTTAAATACGAGTCTCTAACATGTTGCTCTCACAACAGCAAAATCCACTTAGGAGATATGGATATTCACATCGTTTGGGGTAAGATTTGATAGGGACCTTACATCAAAGAATTTTTTTTATATTTATAGCACATGGCGAAATATATCATAATCTCTATGTTCTAATTTTGTAAGAAAATAATTTTTCATACTTTCAGTTTTGCTTCTATGATATAGAGAATGAGCTATAAAATTCAATGAGAATATTAAATAATATAAATATGAGCAAAACATCAACTAAAAGTTAACATGAATATGATGAGTCAACCCACGACTAAAAGTTTAATGGACATATTGCAAGTAAATTCATATGTAAAATTATTTTGCGAATTGAATGACACCCATCTTTTAAAGACTTCAATATACTAATAAATAGAGATGTTGTACTAAATTAATGTGTTTATAACTCACAAATAGTAGATCACGTAGCCACAGTCTGGTTTGAAGGAAACGATGATAATATTTAATTTAAGAGAGAGATTATTGAGTTGATAATTAATCCCATAATTTTTTTTTTATTTTTACTCTATTTTTATCAATTTAAATAATCATGATATTCAACCACGTGCATTGCACGTGCATCTCAACTCATGATATTCAACCACGTGCATTGCATGTGTATCTCAACTAGTCATATATACTCCCTTCAAAAGCACAAGTTTAGAAAAATCTTTAATGGTCAATAATACCCTTCACTATTTTAAATATTTTTATTTTGAAATGTCCTGGTTTCATGCAATTACATAATTACAACAAACCAATAATGAGCCATGGGCCAATAACTCGAAATAAGTATGGTTCCGGGTAAATTGGTGATCTCTAACTTGAGGTGGGCTCCAACCACTAAACTAACAGAATTTTAAGTTCCCTGACCAAGTTTCTCCCGTTGCCAAAAAAAAAAAAAAAAAAAAAAAAATGGTAACCTCTTACATTTTATATACAATTTTCATTAATTACCCCCTCGTTCCAAAAAAAAAAAAAAAAAAAATGGTAACCTCTTACATTTTATATACAATTTTCATTAATTACCCCCCATCCAGAAATTTAAATTCCCACTGTTTGCGCAAAAAATAAATCAACCTCTAAAATTGTTGCCGTTTGAGTTCGTTAAAATTAAGGGGATCCCTTCGCAAAATCGATGAACATCAACAAACTAAACTCCCATCACTTCACAAAGTTCCGCTAACCGTCGTCCTACGAGCAAAGTGGGTCCCACAAGAATCACCCGAAGGCCAGGTGCCAGCGTGAGCTTTGAGCGGCGCCGTCGCTACGGCTGTTTACCGCCACGCGGAGGCACCGTGGGCTTGCCGCTGCCTCACGCGGGCGGGGGGCCCGCGGCGGTTTAAACCCCCGTCGGTTTGGTCGCGTTTTGGATTTTCCTGTTAACAACAAGACCTTTTAGTTGAGATAATTACAAATCTGCCACTGACCCCTGACCTGTTACCGCGCTGGAGCTGGCGTCTCCGGTCACCTCTTCACAAACATTTAACTGGAGATAAAAAAAAAACAGAAGGATATTTATCAATATTAGTCTAATAGATTAATGATGTATTAAAAGATATTTATATTTATATAAGTTAAATTAAAGATTTATGTAATAATATCATTTTGATGCCCCGTTAAGATGATAAATCGGAATTGATGGGCGCTTCCTCAAAACAGAACAGGAAAAGTATTTTGTTCTCGTCGGTAATCTTT